TTGTCTATAGGTAATTGCTTTGTTTGGTGCCTTTCTAAAAGCTTTTGGCAAGTGTCTACAATCCTAATGTGTTATGTCTTTATAAGAACTCACAAAGAAGATAGAAAGAAAATATATTCTTACAAGTACAGGTTTTTTGATCATCTAAATATTTAACTGAGTAACAGTTTCCACTTTCTATGGAAAAACTAGTCAGTTTTCTGATCTGCTAAGCCAACCATTAAACAAAACCAAAATTATCCAAAAGCAAAAAATTACATGCTGAGTAGCCAATAGCAAAATTGTTCAGCTTCCTGGCCTACTGTCGAAGATCAAAAGTAAATTGTTAAGGGCTATAATTTAAATACATTCCATAAAACTGATCTAAGTCAAATTACCTGTGGCAATCGATTTCATAAACAAAGCTATATACATCTAAATTAAAGAGATCAAATTAGTATAAAAATACATAAACCCAATGTCAAACATGGACTCAGAGAGAGCCTATGAATGGCTGCCTACTTCTCCGAGTCCTCCGTATAGCTCATAATTTAAAATCTCCATGACTCACAAAATAAAAAATATTCAGATTTTTAAAAATTAATAATGTATGTAGTACTATAATACAGTAACTTTTTAAAAATTGATAAAATATCTTATAGCCAATATTTAGTTTGTCAACTTAATATTAAAAACACAGTAAAAACTACAGGTACATTTCTACTATCCGATATGCCATTTAAATATTATTAAAAAATTTCAGGAACCAGAAGTTGGCATCATGGCCATGTTGCTGGACTCCCTTGTAACTGACCATGGTTTGAGTCCCAGACCCTGAAGCTTAAACTTATGCCAGGCGCATGTGTGTTTGTGCCCAAGATCCCGAGAGGAGAATGAAGGAGAAGGGATTGTGGCGTGGCTATCCCCCCAGGCAGTGATCTCTCACTTCCTGTCTCTTTGTCTCTCTCTGTCTTTCTGGCAAGCGCATGCACCCTATAGCAAAAACCTCTCAAAAAAAAACTAAGAAGGGACCAGCAGTTAGCATAATGGCTATGTTGCTGGACTCCCATGTAGTTGACCGCAGTTCGAGTCCCAGACCTGGTGGCTTAAACTCACGCCGGGCGTGTGTGCATGCGTGCCCAAGATCCCAAGAGGAGAATGGAGGAGAAGGGATTGTGGCGTGACCATCCCCCCTGGGGGGTGATTTCTCACATTCTGTCTCTCTGTCTCTCTCTGTCTTTCTGGTGAGTGCACGCGCCCTATAGCAAAAAGCTTTCCAAAAAAAAAAAAAAGACTAAGAAAAAAAAAGAATTTCATTTATTGTCATGTTCATTACATATTTTTAATTTTATACAGACTTTTCCATAAAAAAGTAATGCTATAACAATAATCAAAAGGTTATTTAAAGATGTGTTTCTCTCATGAGACATTTCTGGACAAATCTGAGGTAATTAAACTCTGCCAAGCTTTAATATATTATGTCAAAATATATTTTCATCAGGTAAAGAATGCTGTTTGTAATTCACTGACTAAAGACAATCAAGCCCTCCAGGGTCAAGAGTGGGGGTCTTCTAAAAATAATAACAAAAAGTTTGCTTGTGAGCCCTATTGGAAGACATCATGCCAAATTCTTCTCACCAGTTGCACTGCAGTAGAGCTTCAAGAACTTGAACTCGAGTCACAACTCAAAAGAGGTACTTTAGATTTTTAAAACTGTGCTTACTGGGGACTTAAGACATAAAACTAACCAAAATATATTTCTTCTTCAAAACAGACATCTTAAACATAGAAATCTATGCCCCAGTATCACAAATCAAGACATCTCTGCCATCATAAAAACTTTATGTTGTTTCTTGGGAACCAGCAGTTAGAGTAATGGCTATGTCGCTGGACTCCCGCGAAGCAGACCACAGTTCGAGTCCCCGACCCAGTGGCTTAAACTAACGCCGGGTATGTGCGCTTGCGTGTCCAAGATCCCGAGAGGAGAGTGGAAGAGAAGGGATTGCGGTGTGGCCATCCCCACCGGGGGGTGATTTCTCGCTTTCTGTCTCTCTGTCTCTCTCTGTCTGTCTGGCGAGCGCACGCGCCCTATAGTGAAAATCTCTCCAAAAAAAAAACCAAAAAACAAACAAAAAAAACTTTATGTTTTTTAAAAAAAAAAAAAAACCTCAATACCATTACCAGCAGATGGTATAATGGCTATGTCGCTGGACTCCCGCGAAGCAGACCACAGTTCGAGTCCCCGACCCAGTGGCTTAAACTAACGCCGGGTATGTGCGCTTGCGTGTCCAAGATCCCGAGAGGAGAGTGGAAGAGAAGGGATTGCGGTGTGGCCATCCCCACCGGGGGATGATTTCTCTCTGTTCCTGTTTCTCTCTCCCTTTCTGGCGAGTGTACACACTCTATAGCAAAAACCTCCCAAAGAAAAAAATTCAGTATCTATTTTCTTAATTCTTTCTTCTTTTCTACAAAAAAATCCATGGGACCATAATTAAAAGTTAACTTTAATTCAAACTTATGTCCTAACACAAAGCCAGAGTAGTTGTTAAGTTTATAACCTAATGCAAAAAAGATTTCTATAAGCTTCCTAAAAATTAAAATGGGCAGTATTGAGAGACAGGTTGTATTTTAAAGCTTATCCATAAACTAGAAAACATTTTCAATTTATAGCCAATTAGACTTCCTGGGGTTTCAGATGGGTAAAAGCCACTCTCCAAAATGTAAATGATTAACATACAAGTTTAACAAAACACTTAAAATATAATCCAGCTTCAGATATACTTTTGTTCAAGTTAGGGCTTATGTTTAATAGTAACCAAAACTAAACATTATGCCTATCTCTCTTATAACTTTAATACCACAAAAAGTTTAATTAAAAAAGTGGCTGATACTGCTGGTCCTTAGACTCAGCCACCAATTATACTAAAAAAGTCTCTTAAAAAAACAATGTGTTTACAGATGCAACTAATAGTCAATTTACAGACATCCTAAGTAGTAAATAACAGGCTTGTATTTTTTAATCTTTATATTTCTCCCAGTAGGCCTCTAAGTTGTTATGACTTATATTACAAAACTAACAAAAAAAAAAGTACCTTTCTAATTAGGTCATTTCCCCCCATAAAAAACTATAATCTTCAATTATCATACTCTGGACAACTAAGCTCAAATACTGTTAAATTGACTATGTGGTCTGAACCTCAGCCTGTTTAAATTTATTTTAGCTTGTTTCATGAAAACTTTCATTAACAAATACACCTTAGTGGGTCAGCAGGCGGCACGGTGGTTGAGGGTGCTGGCTGACAGTGGTTTGAGCCCTAGACCTGGCGGTTTGCTTTCTTACTTTCTCCTTCTCTGTCTCTGTCCCTCTCTGGTCAAATTAAAATAAATTAATTAATTAATAAAGTTAAATAAAATAATTCTAAAAAAAAAATACACTTCG